CCCTGTCCTCTGTGCTCTCTTTCAGACCATTTCAATTGTCTACATAGTGACAGCCTTTGTGGGAGTTGAGGCCTGGTATGCACCTTTCCTGTTTAATTTCTTATATAGAGACCTATTCACTGCAATGATTATTGGTAAGAAGCTCCATGTTGAAGCCTGTCTTTTAAAACTCCACCTTTTTTAACCGAGCCAATGTTAATGTGCCATGCTAATGCTGCTCTGTTTGCTGCCAGGGGAGCTGCTGTTGGGCAGGTGTTGAGGTGACTAATGCAGGGTGTTCTCACAGCCTTTCCCTTTCACAGCCTTGCAAAAACAACACTGCTTGTCTCCTGCAGAGTTATTTTGGAGAGCTTAACTCCCCCCCATCTGCCTGGGCTGCCTTGGCACCCCGGGGCAGCTCAGTTGGGTGGCAGGGAGAGCCCCTGGGGGGGTTTAGGGGATAAAACCAGTGGGATAAAAGCAGATTTCTGAGGGGACAAAGCCCCACGTGCAGGTGGGTGCTGGGACCTGGCACCCAGTGGAGCCTCCCCAGCCTGGGGCTGGTTTTGGGGGGGTCAGGGGGGTCAGGGCACTCTTTGTTCTGCTGCCTTGGGGCTGCATCAGCCCAGAGCACAAACACTGCGTGGGAGGGAGGCTGCAGCCCTGGAAGGAGGGTGGGAGCTCTGCTGTTCGGGGATCCTGCCCTCCATCCACCCACCTGAGCACTGAACAAGAGCTGTAATAACAATAAAACCGAAATCAGAGCCCGGCCTGCCTCTCCTGCGGTCGGTCAAAAGAAGCCGCTGCAAAGAGCAGAGCTGAGCTGACCTTGTTGCCTCATTCACAGGTTCCTGCTCAGTTTATTTGCTGTGTTCTTTGTAATTTATTATTTCATTTCGAGTTAATTGGTGTGCTGGGTGTAGTGCTTGCACTTCTGCCAGGTGGGTGTTCTGAGTTTCCCTGTGGCAGCCACGTAGCTTGACATGTGAATGATAACTGTGCTTCTCCAGCGTGAACAACAGAGCCCACAGACCCCTGAACTTCCCATGGGAATGATAACTGTGCTTCTCCAGTGTGAACAACAGAGCCCACAGACCCCATAACTTCCCATGGGAATGATAAAGATAAATGTGGTTCTCCAGTAGAGCCCACAGACCCCTGAACTTCCCATGGGAATGATAAAGATAAATGTGCTTTTCCAGTGTGAATAACAGAACCCAGTGCCCACACGGGCAGGATTTGGGATAGGAGGTGGGTTATTAAGGCAGGAATGTTTCCAGCTCTGTTAAAATTCCTTCTGCTGGATAAGCAGGGCAGGGGTTGTGCTGGGCTGTCACGGATAAAGCAGTTGGTGGTTCTGATTGGGGTGGTTCTGATTTTTCAGCCTCTTAGGTGGTTTGCATCGTTTATCTAGTTAAAATGACAATTTTTGGGGGGCACTGTGGGCACTGGAAGTGTTTGCACACAGCTGGAGAGGCTGCAGATCGCCCTGATTGTGAAGGCTGGGATCTTGTGCTCAGCCACTTGTCACTCGTGGCGTTCCCCTCGCCTCATTAGGACTGTGCTATAATTACACTTTCTCCCTGTCTTAAAGCACAATGCTCATTAACGCAGCCCTTTCAAATGGAAATGTCTTTAATTTATAGCAGTTTTAATTACAGCCCTTGGACCAGAGGCAGGAGCACCCGCTCCTCGTGAAGCTGCCCGAGCCGCTCGTGGGGCGCCCTCGGAGCACCCAAAACGGGGCCCAGGGGGCACGTGAGGGACCCTCTGGCAGGGCACTAACAGGGTGTGTTCTCTTCCAGCCTGTGCTCTCACTGTGACGCTGCCCATGAGCCTCTACAACTTCTACAAGTGAGTCTTTGGAATCCCAGCCTGGTGTGAGGGGGGAAAAGGGACCTTAAATGAATCCAGTGCCACCCCCTGCCACGGGCAGGGACACCTTCCACCGGTTCAGGTTGCTCCAAGCCCCGTCCAGCCTGGCCTTGGACACTCCCAGGGATCCAGGGGCAGCCACAGCTTCCCTGGGAATTCCAGCCCAGCCCCTCCCCACCCTCCCAGCCAGGAATTGTTTCCCAGTTTCCCATCTCTCCCTGCCCTCTGGCAGTGGGAAGCCATTCCCTGTGTCCTGTCCCTCCATCCCTTGTCCCCAGTCCCTCTCCAGCTCTCCTGGAGCCCCCTCAGGTGTTTACTGGAGGATCTCCCATTGATCCCACGTGTTTTCCTTTCTCTCCTTGTGTTCCAGGGCCTATAAAAACAACACCCTGAAGCACCACTCTGCGTATGAAATCCTGCTGCCCCTCGTGTCCCCCGTGCTGCTCTTCCTGCTCTGCACCACCTGGGTCTTCCTGTCCCCCACGGACATCCTGGAGGTCCAGCCCAGGCTCTTCTACTTCATGGTTGGAACAGCCTTTGCCAACATCTCTGTGAGCAGCTTTTGCTTTGTGCTTGAGAAAGTGCGGTGTTAGTGAAATTGGGCGTTCTCAGAGGCTGGGGCACCCTCTGTGTGTGCTGTGAACACCAAAGTGCTGATGGGAAGGGAGCTCCTGCTTCCTTTTTGGGGATGGGGACTAATTTTTTGGGTCAAAAATCTGATCTAGCTGCATATCCAGAGATTTTCAGAATCCTTAAGGTTGGGAAAGGCTTTTTTTAAGATCATCAGGGCAAGCCATTCCTCCAGCCCTGCCACCAAGGCCACCACTGAGCCCCGTCCCCCAGTGCCACATCCACAGGCATTTTAAATCCCTCCAGGGATGGGGATTTACCACCTCCTTGGGCAGCTGTGCCAGGGCTGCACAGCCCTTTCCATGCAGGAATTGTCCCAATATCCCCCCTGCCCCTCCCCTGGCACAGCTGGAGGCCGTTCCCTCTCCTCCTGGCCCTGTTCCCTGGGAGCAGAGCCCGACCCCCCCCCGGCTCCCCCCTCCTGTCAGGGATTGCAGAGCCAGAAGGTCCCCCCTGAGCCTCCTTTTCTCCAGGCTGAGCCCCCCCAGCTCCCTCAGCCGCTCCTGCTGCTCCAGCCCCTTCCCAGCTCCGTTCCCTTCCCTGCCCACGCTCCAGCCCCTCCCTGTGTCTCTGGTGTGAGGGGCCAGCCCTGC